AGGACGGGCTGAAGCTCTTCCCACACTGAGAGCACTGATGTGGCTTCTCCCCTTTGTGGATGCGCCGGTGGCTGGTCAGGCTGGAGGAGTGTGTGAAGCTCTTCCCACACTCAGAGCACTGATGTGGCTTCTCCCCTGTGTGGATGCGCCGGTGCATGGCCAGGTCAGAGGAACAGGTGAAGCTCTTCCCACAGTCAGAGCACTGATGTGGCTTCTCCCCAGTGTGGATGCGGTAGTGTTTGGTCAGGCCGGAGGAGTCGTTGAATCTCTTCCCACACTCTGAGCACTGATGTGGCTTCTCCCCTGTATGGATGCGCTGGTGGCTGGTCAGGCTGGAGGACTGTGTGAAGCTCTTCCCACAATCTAAGCACTGATGCGGCTTCTCCCCAGTGTGGAGGCGCCGGTGCATGGCCAGGTTGGAGGAACGGCTGAAGCTCTTCCCACAGTCAGAGCACTGATGTGGCTTCTCCCCTGTGTGGATGCGGTAGTGTTTGGTCAGGCTGGAGGAGTCACTGAATTGCTTTCCACACTCTGAGCACTGACGTGGCTTCTCCCCTGTGTGGATGCGGTAGTGTTTGGTCAGGCTGGAGGAGTCACTGAATTGCTTTCCACACTCTGAGCACTGACGTGGCTTCTCCCCTGTGTGGATGCGGTAGTGTTTGGTCAGGCTGGAGGAGTCACTGAATTGCTTTCCACACTCTGAGCACTGACGTGGCTTCTCCCCTGTGTGGATGCGGTAGTGTTTGGTCAGGTTGGAGGAATCGCTGAATCTCTTCCCATTGCAACATGTAACCTTGTGAAACCCCCGCCCCCCACATAGAGCTGTTCAATGAAGCCTGAGACCAGGATTCAACACTTCCTGGGTTTCAGGTCAACTTGACCAAGAGACACCAGGCAGAGTCCCAGCCTCTCTCAAGTCCTACACTAATGGGTACACGCAACTTCACAGAACCATGCTGATTTCCAAGGGGGACTACAAATCCCATCATGCCCTGGGACAGGATGTTAAGAGGTATGGCTACACTGGGCTGAGGAATCAACACTTATGCTGCTGAATGAAAATGGAAATCTCAGTTCATGGTAGCCTTATGGAAACCAGCCTGTGCCTAAAGATCAACACAGCAAACTTGGTTGTCCCCCCGCAGCCGTAGTTAGGGGGTAGAAGTGAACGACTGCTCGTCTTCACAGGTTGGAATTTCAGGGCACGGGAAAGCCACCTGCCTGCACACACTACAGCATAAACTAGTTGAGGTCAGCACCCTGGAAGGGCAGAGCAGGACAGGTCTGCAGGTTTCAGGCCCTGTCACTGTGGACATGGAGCATTTCTGAAAGGGGATTCAGGGGAGGGGACAGCCACAACTCACCTAGGCACAGGTCCGCAGAGCTTGAAATTTTCCCATGGTCCTCATCACCACAGACCCAGAGCTCCTCCTGTCCTCGCTGGATGCAGCTGATTAAGTTGGGTGTGGGGCCTTGATATCCTGTTTGGGGCACCAGTTAAAGAGAGTTTGTGGTTCGGTCCTGGTTGCAGAATAACCAACTGGGATATGGGGAATGGATCCAACGAACTCATGCATACTACTGGGGCCTCAAAGCAGGAGCAAGAGTGGACCTTTGAGATGAATAAGAAGGCACTGCAGTTAGAAGCATTTG